TGTTTTCTCGTTTAGGGCACACGCATTTTTTTACTTGGGGACCATATGCCGCTTTTCATGGAATGGCACTAACGTGTCACATTGAAGGTTCCATGATAACCGCCATATGAACACATCTGCGGATGTTTCAAAATTCTAAATTTTACCAGTTCATGTTAAATGTTGAATTCTGCTTAAGCCGGTGCTAGGGGGCGTGGACGGTAACTTGCACTTGACAGTACCGTCCATGAACAGGCTCAATCAAACCAAGCCTGCAACATTTTCAATTTTGCCGTGTTGGGCTTTCTTTAGGGATTCTGTATTTGGCGTCCGCGCCGAAGCGCGGCGCCTATTGGAATGAAATGAGATTTTGTGAAAGGGCGACAGCAACTTCTCGAGCCTTTTATAGTTGCCAATAATAAAAGCCGAACATTCCGATCGGTATGAGGGTGCTTGATTATTAATTAGTCGCTATATGTACAATGAATGGCGAACTGGAGAATTTTGCAATGCAAACATTTTCAAATGCAATAACCTTTCAATAAATCGCGCTCTTCGGGGTATTTTTGCTTATCATTTTGTAGTACACAGTGGGTTATTATGGTATGTTATTCCGAAAGCTGTTAATAGAATGATGAGTTGATGACCTAAATATTCCGAAAATCTATTTATAGAGGGATGTACTCCTATCGGTAATTCCCGGTCTCTCCTGGGATTTACTAATGACGACCGGCGACGTTTATTGTCCGGTCTCTCTCCCGGTTTTGGAGTAAGATGTTTGATATCGTTACAGAACAGAACAAATATTTTACAGATAAAATAAGCTTTTTTTCAAAATGAATGTTTGTCACTTAGTTTGGTTACAATAATTAATAAACACAGATCAACTCTCGAATTGATTGATTATTATTATACATAAACATACAATTCGAAAAAAAAAACCAACAACACAAATCGCATGTTATATTTTATCTATATGAGATAAAAACAATAAATATGTACAATAAATGAGGAAAAATGTACATTTTTATGGCATTAATACGACACTATCAACTTTAAAACATTTTATTTAATTTGTTATTCGTGTTTAGTAAAGATTCCGAGGAATTATTCAAAGTTACAAATCAGATTTTATGAATTATTCAATTGATTGATAATTTAAAAAATGATAAAGAAAAATACAAATGTACATGTATATGGTTTCAGAATAAACAATATTATATATTGAAAGATTAACCATGATTTACTGACTTTTTCCAGTTAAGTTTTGACTTATAATATAATCGTCGATCATTATGACAATTGAATTCTTAAAACAGTAGTAAATGTAAAAACTCAGTATTAAAATAGCGCATAAAACAGACACAAAAAAAGAAAAGAAAACAATATTCATAAAATCTGTATTTTTTTTATTAAAATAGAAATTACATTTATTGTATAATAAACAATTATGCTCAACATGATCAACATGGTAATATAACAAGTGTCATATTGTTACTTAGTGTGAACAGATACCTTAAGAGGGGGTCCTCGCTAATAGCGATAACATAATAAGGGACAATTACACAAGTATGGTGTTGATCATGCGTTACACATATGGATTATAAATGATTGTATACATGTATATCCGTTGCTATAAATAACCACGATCATAAAGAAATAACAAGTAATATTCTAATTTCTAGCATGCCGATCAAAGTTATAAATAATGAACAATGTCTTTCGTCCGTTCATTCAAAAGTGATATACAATTCTGGTAAAACCCAATGAACCATTGAAAAGTTTATAAGAATATCTTGTCATCATATATCTACTAGTTCATCTGCACCTGCTGTTTGGACGCCCTTTGATGCTTTGCATCAATGCTTTTCTTGTTATTTATTTGGCGTGATGTCACGTCAAAGTCTCGCGTCTTTTAGGGATTTCCAGAAAATCTATTTTTAGAAGGAAAAACGGTGAATATACTCTGAAAATCTATTTTTAGGAGAAAAAACTGTTAACAGTGAATATATATTATACTCTGATATTGACCTGTTATTTTTTACAAAAAGGTGCTTGTTAGCCAATCAGGGAAAGGCATTTCAAATCTATTTATAGATTATATAATAATGAGAAATATTGATGAACATTTTACAATAACTGTTGATTTTTTAATATAATATAATTTATATACTTGTTGAGCGTTTTACTATTATGTCTAGTTAAGAGCGGTATAATATAAGAAATAGCACATCTTGGACCTCAAAGTATGATTGTGACCTCCCGACAGGCAAAAACATTGAATGGACCTTAACCTTCGGACTGTCTAGCCGGTCATTATGATGCTAAAAGACCCTCAGTGCTATGCACTATTTCTTGAGCAGTATAAAGTATAGCCATTCTATTTTTAGGAATTTAAATCATAGGCAAAATTAGTCGTGGAACCGTTTTTAAGGAGAAAAAAAGCTATCTTCATAATAAATATATTAATATTGACGTGTATCTTGTGTATCGATATAATATAAAATCTATTCGAGTGCAAAGTAAGTATATAGGAAATACATGTACTTGTTTGAGTGATGTAAGACCGTAATGTAATGTCACTTCAACTGTACTTAAATGTATATGTAAGTTTAATATTCTTTTATTTTTTTATAATTCAGAATTCTGGGATATAGTTATTTCATTTTGTTTGTTTTGTTTTGTAGTTTTTGTCTATGTTAAGAAAAAAATGCGGAGTTACAGCATAAAGAAAACAAAAGAAAATGGTTATACCAACATATGATTTCGTTGTTCTGCTCAGTTGTATGATCGAGATATAATGAACGAAGTGGCACATAAAGCATTGTTCAGCTTATAAAGCTGAATAGACGCGAATATACCTGTTTTTAAAAATGTTCCAAGCAACTTAAAACTCAATATGATAACGAACAACTAAAGGGACACAAGTTATAGAAAGAGCATCAAAACACGAGGCTATCTGATTTGTACGAGGGGGCGTAGCCCCCCGAGTATTAATCAGATTGCCGAGTGTTTTGATGTTCTTTCTCTTTTGTATTATAGTCAAACATAAAAACACGTTCCCTGTTGTCACAATATGAAACTCCGGGGAAAAGTAACAAATGACCGAGAAACTGAATATGATAGCTCTGTCGCTTTCGCTTTCTCTGCCGTCACAATAAGTAAACCCAAGCAAAAATGAGCCAATCAATGGACATGTTCTGGAGTGCGGGTAACTAATACCTACACTCCAGTTAACGCATTGTGCATGTATATGTATACGATTTAACTCTGACACATTTTCAACAGAAAGGTCCCCAAACTATGATACAAAACATCGTTATTTCAGTATTGTAACAAATCGACAGTTATGTCGATACATCAGGGTCACAAAAGCGCCCGCCAAATATGGCTCCCTGAGGAGTTAACTTTTATATGCCAACAACTACAAAGAGAACACCCAGGATTTGGTGATGTATTCTAAGTTATCCCTATAAAACCTGATAAATATATGATAATGGTTACAATAAAAAGTTACAAAGTTTGTTTTCTTCATAAAGACAGCTGACATAAAATTAATAAAAGTTTGTAGAAAACTCTTAAGTTGTCAATGGAATCCGAAATTATGCCAAACCGTTTGTTATCTGCATAAGTTTACAATATGTATCGATCTAATCTATTGTTTTCCAAAAAATATAAAACATAACACAATACACCAATGCATATTTATTGTACTGCAGACGAAGAGTTTAAATCAATAGTACAATTTCGTCAAATTTAAATAAATACCTTTAATAGTTATTGAGATATGTAAAACTTGCATGTAAACAACGAGTAGATTTTCTCATTCAAGTAACGTATCGCCGTTATATGAAGAAACATAAATCGTGGCAATAAGTTTAAAACTTTAAGAGTCATCGATCATTATAAACGTTGACACTTATTTTAATACGTCTGTTGATTAGTAAAAAAATCCTAAACTTCTAAAATAAATGCTTGTCTAAAGATTATTAAAAGCATATATTATAAAAACAGTGTTACTGGTATTTAATGATATACTGTACATGGTTATCGTCCCCAACCATCAGTGGGCATCATCATCAGAATCTTCTTCTGGCAAACTTTTCCGTCAGCCATGTCGTATTCAATTTCACCAATTTCTTCTTGACTTGGATTCTCTTTCCCTTCTTTGTTCCGTCAACCACATTTTCCTTACTTCCAGAAGCGTCGCTTTCTTTTCTTCTGCTTATGCATAGATTTCTCGATGTCGGTTGCTGCGATTTCACTCTTGCTTGCTTCCGGTGAAATTATTTCACGTTTGCGTTCATTTAATTCCGTCAAGCTTTTTGACTGGTAAACTCTTGTTATAACAAGTTCGTCATCAACGGCTTCATTTTTGCAACATGATGCACAACAAATATATGTAATAAAACGCGATAATAATGACCGATTCTCTTTTGCTGTAGCCATGTTTGTTTGCCGCGTTTGACGTTATGCTATTGCTAAGCGACGGCGTCGGATTTGCATGAAGTAACGGTATGACGTAATAATTACTGTCGTTCGAGACACAAGTTATCACTACATGATAACTTATACAACTTATTTCCAATATCACCTCCTATACTTATATAAAGAGAAAGTTTAACGAAAATAAACAGCAATATAATTAAGACAAACACGCTTACAAAAATACATAGCATTTTATGGAAAGTATTAAAACTTAAAAAGGATGCTTAACTTTGTACACATAGGCATCATGATCATCTTATAAATCATGTGCGTGCGTGTGCGTGTGTGTGTGAAATTAATCTCTTTAATAAATTAACTCTTTAATTTCATCTGTGGACCAATCGGGTTGAGTTTTTGTTATTATTCTTTTTTTTATCTTTTTTCATTATTTTTTGTTACCATAGAGTAAGCATTAAATGATATTGACTATATTTAGCCCATGGGTTATTACTTAAACCCCTGTAACATGTAAATTATCAGACCAGATGTTGCAATGGTGCGCGCTTATCTTGAAGGACAAATTTGATCGATAAGCAAAGGATGCATCTTATGACAAAAAATTGTATCAATTTTATAAGACTATAGATATTATTATAATAATGAACTCTGTTTCGCTTTTGATTTATATTTTTTATTTTCATGTGGATTTTATAGACACACATATATTTACGTCTATTTCTAAGTTACAACGACTCGCGCAAGTTGAAAAAGAGATGCTAAAATCACTTGAAATTTATATACAGGATTCAGAAAATAGTGGAAATGTGATATCAGAAAATGTCCAAAAGTAAGTAATTTATATCGTAAACCTAGGTGCGTACATACAGAAAGGATTAGAAAAGCGGCTATTACAGTAGAATTATTATTTACTTTCATTTTAAAGATTTATTTCTTCAATCTGAAGTTTTATTATGGAATGAAATGAAAGAATGCTGCAGTAAATTTGTTATCAACAGGACCTTCAACATCTTTGATTTAACACATTTTCTGCAGTTTTTACATATGAGCCGTGTCACGACAAAACCAACATAATGTGTTTGCGACCAGCATGGATCCAGACCAGCCTGCGCATCCGCGCAGTCTGATCAGGATCCATGCTGTTCGCTTACAGTAAAAAACTGATAGCGAACAGCATGTATCCTGATCAGACAACGCGGATGCGCAGGCTGGTCTGGATGCATGCTGGTCGCAAACGCACTATGTTGGTTTTGTCGTGACACGGCTCATATGTTGTCAAACAGTTTTTCAACATGGAAATTATTGGAATACATTAAGCATGTTTCAATATCAGAATTCGACGAAGACCATCTGTTACAAATTATATAACAATAAAGCATAATCCTCTTTATAATTTCAATATTGTAAATTAGTGTAGTATTTGGTCTATTGTATGGCAACTCTTTTTTCTTGCCAGTGTATATGTTTACATTGATTGTGTAAGGTGTAGTCTTATGTATAACATGGGCAAGTTAGAAATGTTTTTTTTTTTATAAAAATATGTGATAATTAAGAAGCATGATATATAAATTTAAGTTTCTACAAAGAAGTATCACAAGCTTCAACGCTAACTGTACAAGAACACTTCATGGAGAACCCCATCAATGCCTTCCACTTTATACGAAGAATGCATGATGGATGGCCAAACATGATCAGAACAATAGATTGCGATCACTGTAAACTGACTGATCCATTGAGAGGTGAGATACTAGTAAATAAAATGAATTGAAGCACGAGAAATTTAATCAGAATTGAGGCTATAGCATTTATTTTACCTTTATTTTGTACGGAAGTCGAGTACATCCGCTTTCTCGGCAAAGCAAAAACGAATATATTGGATGGTGTAATTTGAGAACTGCAATTCGAATAGATAACCTTTTTGCCAATCGTTCGATACTTTCTCACGAACTAGCATGTTTAACAATGAAATATGAGATGAAATTTCCGGAGATATATAATATTATTGAGTTGTAAAATTTCGAGAACTTTTATCATTAGCATTGTCATTTGATTACTTGAACATACTTAAGCATACAACATGTTAGTTCTATCAATTTAAGTAAATTCTAATTTGTCAAAAGATTATTTCAAACTTTAACAGATTTTAGAGATCGACTTTCTGACATAGATGACAACTCTCTTATTGGTATTGAAACGACTGCGGAGGATTTACAATGGGCAGCACTGGCTAATGTTCGCCTTTGGCAAACATACAAACTCAACTTAACTTCCTTCTTCAAGTATCTATTTTATTACCCTTGTTGAATGTATATATTAGATAAAGTGTAAGCGTATGAAAAGTAAACACGATTACCATCAGGTAATTTCCAATGGTCATCCATACAACAAATTTCGACACACTTTGAACTTATTTAAACATGCATTTGTAATGCTGCTAGTTGACAAGATAATTTGTTTTGTTCTCAGTTATTCCAACGCTTATTATATTTTAGTATGCATAATTATAAACAAATAGATTAGCTCAAGTATTCCATAGCTAGAAATGATATAGAATCTGAACCATCTGGTAGAGAAGTATCAAAAAATGTGTAAAATACCATATAAATGGTATTTCTGCGGCGACTTTATTTCTGCGTATTCTGCGGTCAATATCAGCATCGCAGAAATAAAACCGCAGAATTTGGATCCCGCAGAAAAAAAACACCTATACGGTATTGCTTATATGCCTTAAATAGATGAAACTTTGTTATATTTAATAATAAAAAATAGCAGTTCTATAAATGGTCTATAAATGGTCTATAAATGGTTTATTGTCTAAAAGTTTAATACTACTACAACCGTTTCTTTATAGCGGTCAAATTTTGAATACCACCACGAATCCACTGACATGGGACGACATTTTCTACATATGCAACCAGTTGGACTACACTAACGAGTTTTATAAAGAAATTGTTTGGCTTGAAGAAGTTCTTACTTTAATAATAAACAATGTCTCTTACAATAAATACAGAACAAGAGTTACAAGACAGCTTGCGTCTGCGTACTTCAAGGTTTGTTGTTTATCGGTACAGTTAACACTGTCAATTCACACGGGTCCGGGTCTTGTCAAATGGAAAGAGTGGTCTCAGTACGAGGCGGTCGTTCTTAACAAGCTATTTTAAGGAGTGATTGTTTAAACTAGTCACATTTTTATTGACCTGTATAGATTTTCTATCAATGAGCATTGTTTAAGAGCTGTCCTTTATCGCAGATTTATCATCATCATCATCATCATCATCATCATCACCTCAATTAAGTTATGAATACCTAGCTTTTAACAGTACTGATTTAAATAAAATACAAATATCTGGCAATAAAAGCAAGGTATGATGACAGTTTACTGGTATATCATTATGTCTAGATTGTTACTTTCTTAGACATATCTATTTTCAGTATGGTATGCCATGGAAATCAGTTGACTTGATGGAGAAAGAAATACGTCAAGGTGAGATGTTATAGTGAAATAATTATCATCATTTTGACATTTTCTAATCAGTCAGACAATACGATGTCACCTCAAGATATCTAAACTGACAAAAGAGAACATAATAATTGTAATCAAAACAATTTCAAATTGTTCAGCAGCTTCTCAAAAACTAGTATTTAAATGATCAGACATTTAGAAGTATTATGAAATTTTTTACATTAGTTACTCATTTGTACAAGCAGTATGCATTCATTTCAGCAAACTTAGACGATCAGAAAAAGTTAAAGCGTGACCTGGCATTTTATAATAGTAAAGAAAAAGTGGTATCCGATAAAAGTAAAGAACTGAAACCAAGTACATCAGACATTGATAAATCACACTATGAAGCTTTGTGTAGAGGTCACGTGACAAGGGTAATTACTTTAGTTCCACAATGAATAGTACATATTAACAGATAGTAATTATTATACTCATGACTATCGTCATTAATGACTTGCCTATGCCAAAAGTGTAGACCCAAACCGGTCTAAACCTTCGTACAGCCGTAAAAAAATCCATAGTGTAGGCTTGTTAAATTTTAAAAATTCAGTGCTTTGATATTGAAATGTAAATAAAGATTTGACCTCATAGCAGGATATGAGCATTTATAAAATGAAAGATTAATATAAGATTTTATAAGACATATTTAAGTTAGCAATTTTGTTCAACATTGATGCATAGAATAGAATAGTATAAACTGGATACCATTTGCTGTTATATAGGTATAGGTCATATAATCTTAATTTTCAAAAGAGGAATGGAAAATGCATAACTTTAAGAACATATAATCATTTTAAAAGAAGTTCTACTAAGGATTATTAGTCATTGGTTTGCAAGGTCAAATCATAGATAGATAATAATGGTAAAAGATAATCAAGACTAGTGGGAAAAGCTGAAAAAAAACATTGAAAGTATTATACCTCCATTTCTTTTCCAGAGTACAGAAATATTGTCACGATTACACTGTATCTATCGAACACCAGTGCCAATTTATAGAGTAAAGGAAGAAATATTAAACTATGACCCACGTATATCACTCTTCCGTGAAGTGATTACACACGAGGAAATAGATGGAATCAAGGATATAGCGACAAACATGGTAAGATTATGCTAGATCTAGGTATTTGCAAATACTTCTCAATTCTATGTTTTGTTTACTAGACATCTTTTGAGATTTACATGTTTCCAGATTTTTTTTACGTACAATTAACTTTCTTGATTAATGTTTCATTACATTTTACAATAATGCGTGTTTGTATCGACGCTTTCCATTGGATAATTGTGACGACGTTTATGTGAACTATATACACGACTGCTGTCAATTTAATCAAGTATTTCATTTTCTTTCCTTTTCGCATTCTCTATAAATAAAATCGTTGGAAAAATTGTTAACAGGTTATATAACCATATATAAACGGATGTTTCCAAAGCGCCTTGGATTATATATGTGATCTACCTTTCATATATGGTCATATAACGTGCCAAACTATCTTTATAAGTAACAATTTGCAGACTTTTTATTAAACTTTTCCCTTTTTAGATAGGCATAATACATTATCTAATACAAGTTTTATATAACATTAATTGTTTTAGTAATCAGTTTAATGAAACATTTGTATTCAATCTGAAAAGCTTAAAGCATCCATCATTGTTGGAGACACGGAAAGGAGAAACCGGAAAGATTATAGCGCAAGAGTCAGCCAAACGTAAGTTTTATTTTCATACATTACCATATAAAATATTTTTGCTAGTACACTTTTATAATGTGTTGCATCAATTAAAAGTTCTCGACCAACTTCGGCCTTTTCTGTATGTAGATCTTTCTCTTGACTAGATTGATTTTATTTGATTTTCTTTTCGTACCACGATTGTTTAATCTATACAATATTTAGAATTATCACCTACAGATGTAGGCATATAACCTTATTATTTCATCTTTCACATACCTTATTAGTTTTGTTGATTTTTATATAATGTTTATACACTGTATAAATTATTATAAATCTAATAAAAACTCTCAAATAACTGCGCGAAGAGTTAGCCTGGGATTTAGGCGTTTATATTTTTGCTTATTCATAACATTAGGGCTATTTCATACTCGATCGTGTTTTGATAATACCGATTTGCCGAAGAGAACCTCATAAAAAATCGACAGACTGGAATCCAGGCTACGCGAAAGTGTTATTATCTTTTTCTCTATTTCAACACATGTGGTACTGTTTTTGTTAATTCTAGCAATGGAAATAATTAAGTCACCATTGAAATATTAAAAATAAATTTTGTTCAGCATCTGATGTCATGGATTTTAAATATATTGAAATTTCATTTCCAAGCATCATAACACTGACAAAATCATTACTCAGTATAATCGAATTGAATATTTTGAAAATTTTAACAAGACCCATCGTCGGTAACCCACGGTATATATTTCGTACATACTACATGTAATAGAATAGGCATCGAAACATGAGGCTATCTGATTTGTACGAGCGGGCATAGGCCCCCGAGTATCAATCAGATTGCAAAATGTTTTGATGTTCTTTCACTTTTGTATCATAGGCCAAAACAACACGTTCCCTGTTGTCACAATAATTATGATGATACGTGTACAAAAGAGACAAAACATCAAGGGGGCTATGCCCGCTCGTACAAATCACATAGCCTCAAGTTTTGATGCTCTTTTTATGACATGTAATATGTATGGAATATATACTGTGGGTAACCGACGATGAACAAGACCGTGAGTAACCTTAAATTTGACCTCTGAATTTCAGTGCTTGGTTACGAGACGAATACTCAGAACTAGTCCGACATATAAGTTACCGTATAGAACTAATAACAGGACTTAGTACACGACAGTATCGGTCATTCTCTCACGCAGAATATCTGCAGGTAAGAATTTATTTATTTACTATGTATTTACCTAAATTTATTTATTTATTTATCTATGTCCTAGTCATATTTGGATCTTCCAACATTTCCAGTATTATGAACCCAATGTTTACAGACGTTTTAGTATATCATAGCACAAACCAGTTAAAATGGTTATAAGCACGTGTTCTTGTTTTGAAATTATTTGTGTTTTATTTAAGGCACTTTTAAAATAAGGGATTCTATGAATATCATTTACATAATGCCTGTCAATCAGTCTTTGACAACATATTGCATCAAATAAAGAAAAAGATAGTTCGCCCTTGCCAAATTAGTAACATTAATGGTTTTTTTTCCATTAATAAACCATTAGATTTTTGTGATATTTAACTTAATTTAAATTTAATTTAAAATTGTTTATTGAAGGTACTAAATTATGGTGTTGGTGGGATGTATGAAGGACATCTCGACTATTTAGTGAGTTTTTATCTTACGCTTTATCTTTAATTTCTTGATATTTTCATTAACTGCAGCTGGAGGGTGATCTATTGTCTCTTTAACACAAACACCATATTTGTTCAGTTGTCGCCTGTATTTTTATGTTAAAAGTCATCATATTTTATCTAATATAGAGTTCTATTAGAAGTCTATATCGTAAAGTCAACGCATTAAGTATTCAAACATAAGATTACTTTGATCAATTTGCACATTTTCTTAATTATACTAGGTTGGATGTCAAAAGTTTATCTCAGAAGGATTTGAATCAGATTTTATATAGAAGTTTTATCACTTACATTAAAATAGTGCACGTTATTCTCGTATTCAGGGTATACCGATTCACATCAATCCACTACGTCATGAAGATCCAACTGAGCTACGAGGCACAGGAGATCGCATTTCAACCTGGATGTTTTATGTATTTTAGTATTTTCTTCTCTTTTTTTCTTTTTTTTCTTTTTTTTTCTTATGTAAACTGTAAGCGTAAAAATGTGTCTGTTTCCTGCATGGTTAAATATCCATAATCATGTGTTTTGTCGTATGGGAACATGTAAATTTGCACGTGAATCTATAAATAAACCATTATAATCATTTTTTCCTGGTGATATATTTTATACAATAAGTTGAATGTCTGAATAGAAATGATAGAGATATTTATCTATGAAACATACCCCGAGCATATCTTCTTACAAGTACATTTTTATATAGTTTTAGCGTAGTATCCATTCCAAAAAAAAGTTCAGGGGAGAGAAATTTGAAGATACAAAATCCATATTATTGTTGTTATTTCCCTTCTGTGCACTGCCTTTTACTTTTTACAGCTAAACGATGTCACAGCTGGTGGAGCAACTGTATTTCTAAATCTAAATATTACCGTCAACGTAGAAAAAGTATGTTCTTTTTATTATTTATACGATAATATGTTATCTACATTAATTTCACTATGTATTTCTTTCGAAATCTGTATATATTGTAAAGATATACATTTTATTTTATGATCTTTGGGAATCGCAGCTAATACATTTTATGAGACTGATATTTGGGAGTCGCGGCTACCATATATTACCAAAAATAGGACTAATAAAATCAACCGTAGATACTTCTTTGTTGTTTTTTTTTCTTCTTCTTTTTTTCTTTTTAAGAGCAAATATTTCAGCAACATCAGTAATATTAAATAAATGATAGAAATCACTCGTCTAGGAATTGTATGCAAGATAAAACCAAATGATAAGCATCTGATGCAAAAAAAAACAATTAATGATTTATTAACGCCTATCGCCAAATGACTACATTCTCAGGCAAAGATTGCATTTAAAGGTTTGGAATATGCAGTAAACTGTTTAGCTGTGAAGGCTCACATTCCCTGTAATAGTTATATACTATTAGTATTTTCACTTCAACTTTCAGGGCGCTGCTTTGTTCTGGTATAACATAAAAAGGAACGGGGATTTGGACAATAGGACACAACATGCTGGATGCCCGGTTCTGATAGGCTCTAAATGGGGTATGCTGCTTGCTGTCATTCGGATTAAGAAATAGCATTATATATTGTAGGCGTTGCTTTAATGTACATCTGTCCATTCATGTACATTTATTCATGGCTCGTATGAATTTGATCACATTCGTCAAATTCCTTGTCTTAATATATATATGCATTGTCAAAGCATGTTCCTGCTCAAATACATGCAAGAGAAATAAAAAGGGGTGTATTTTAAAAGCTACCACTAACCAACCAAGGCTTCCTCGGTTGATTAATAGAAAAAAATACCAAAAGGCCCTATTTAAAAAAAAAGGAAAAAAAGAAAAGGGGGATCGAGGAGGGTTTTTTTGCCATTTTTCAATAAAACAGCCGAGGGGTAAGCTAGGGGTCGTTTTATATCTGTTCGAATTCCACAGACAAAAGATAAATGTTGGATACATTTTCTTATTTGATTCATTCAGTTTGTATTCAAACTGGCTACTTGTTTGTACGCGGGTTCTCTTACAAAGCTAAATTTGTGAATAAAATGTTACTGCTATTTAAACTTTGAACAAAAAAATATAACTTGTTAGTCAATGTTGTGTATGAATTGACATGATTTTTTAAATATTTTATTGCAGTTGCAAACAAATGGATCCGACAACATGGGCAAATATTTAGGAGGAAATGCGGGATGAAACTTAATTCTAAAGACATACCGTTGTGACAGAATACTTATTTTTAGAAACTTTATAATACTAATGTACTGTAACTGTTTATATAATATATACGACTGTATTAGTAACGAGTTCGTAATAATGCATAAAAATATCTAGGTTGAGTGTACAAAACGTATTAATAGAAACGGCCATGTCAATTAGGTGATTTCACATTTAACATATGAAAAGCATTGACTAAAACATGTGGGTAACAAGATATCATGTCTATACAACACAAGCCAGACGTTAATTAGGCCTAAATGTCGTGTGATAGCGATAAGTATGTTTTGGCCTTTTTTTTGGATTTAAATGATATAAGATTATTTATCTTTCGAACTGAATTCAAGTCTTTGGTCAGCATCGCCAATTTAAGTTTTATGGCCATGTTGTTAATTTCTGTGAGCATTTCACCGTTGGTATTTTTATCCTTAAACAAATTATTCAACAAAACCAAGAAAGAATGAATGGATCGCACTCTTTTTGTTTTCACACGAGTGCAGTTACTGACAAAACACAGGTCCAACATAAAAAGCATATTAGTATTTTTTTGTCTTCCCTTGCACTCCTATCTCTGAATACCGCAAGCACCACTCGCAATAATTGTTATATACAGAAATAAGGTGGGCGTCGGATTGTAAGTATAAAAGATGAAAAAAGTGAACTAGTCAAGGCAATATAAAAATGCCATAAAGGTGACACTGGAGTTGTATTCAAGTCCTGGTTAAAATATTTATAGCGAGTGAAAGACAAAGGCAAAGGATAAAATAGTTAAAACACCGGGAGCAAGAATAATATTGCAATCCTAATACTGCCCGTTTAAACCGACCTAAGTTGGGCGGGGTGTTAATGTTGTTTGGGACTTTATTCCATAGAACAATGCAATAGGGGAGAGTACTTATGGTAGTCGGAGGAAATCTGTATTTGACGTAAGAATAAGGGGTGCATACGTCTAGTTAATGTATGAGGGACTTGGACATATGGTGGGTGATTAATTAACTGCGCAATCCTCGGTACGTGCTCGTTATAAAGGAAAAAAAACAGGACATCGGCAGAAAATAAGCAATGACAGAGATTTTATCTGCTAACCAGCTGCTGATGTCATGATTCAAGCTGAGTGGATTGGCCATACAAAGTAAGCAGGGACAACGAGGAAGGGTACTTTTTAAGGTGCGTGAGTAGGCATGCCCTTTGCTTGGCACCAACAGCCCTTATCAGGGCTACCTTATACATTTTCATATTGTCCGAGGTTACTATAAACGTTTATAGGTGCGCATTGACCTTCTTTATGCTAACTTATCACCAAATTGTGCTTAAAAATAACTGACTAGTTACATGTCCGGGTCCGTAATCGACATGGAAATCTGCTTTGTGAGTCCTAAGGGCGGATGGACTCTCAATTAACATAGAAGTACAGCTTGACCTCACTTTCTTTCCATCACAGACATGCACTAGACAAGAAAGATGTTTTCAAAAAAAATTGTCCTATACACCACTTCACTCAAATTGATATTTGTACATGAATATAAATCAATTAGACTACAGATGAATTAGAGATGTCCTGCCCCCTCCCCAACACACAATTACTCCACTGTCATCTACAGAGGACAGACAAACGAGGTTCTACATGACTCCTTAATTTAACCCTTTATCTGGATTTTTTCCCAATACATGTATTAAGATTTTAAAATCTCATTTTGAAAAGTTCTCAAGGTTGAATTAAAGTTGCAATTTTTTACTAAGTCAAAGGCATTAATGAACTCTACAAATAATGAATAAATTAAACCCTAGGCGCACATCTTTATAATTTAACATGGATATTAAAAATTCTGTAAAGTTTCATGACTCCAGGTCAAATACTTTTCAGAAGATGGAAATTTCAAATTTTTTACTAAGTCAGAGGCAATTTCTCGGACAAAATTGAAGTACTCCTGGACATGCACCTCTTCAAAGTCCATGTGGTTATACCGTAGTTACTAAAAAAAAAAAAAGACGTTGGAGCACCACGCTAAATACTATGTTACGGTATATACCGGACAATGCGCTTTTGGAGACCGGAGACCGTCGATTAGTATTTATTTGTTCGGAAGACTTTCCTTTTCCCCATCTATTTAGATAGTAATTTCAAATTTTTTACTAAGTCAGAGGCAATTTCTCGGACAAAATTGAAGTACTCCTGGACATGCACCTCTTCAAAGTCCATGTGGTTATACCGTAGAACTTTACTAAAAAAAGGTGTTGGAGCACCACGCTAAATACTATGTTACGGTATATACCGGACAATGCGCTTTTGGAGACCGGAGACCGTCGATTAGTATATAATTATTCGGAAGACTTTCCTTTTCCCCATCTATTTAGATAGTCCAAGATATTAAAAACGACCGGGAAGTTCAAAATGAAAGTTTTGGTGAAAAATGAAATAATTATATCAGATTACATCCCAAAGGTTTGATTAAGACTTGAAAGTGTCCAACATACAAATTATGGGAAATTTATTGAGTCGGTCAGTGACTCGTCACGATCCTGCGATTCCAGATGAGCGCAAACGTAAACGAGATGATATCGATGACTTTTCCACTTCACACCTTGGATTGTTGAACACTCCTAAAAGGTATGACGATACTATAACGATACTAAATAAAATGTTCTATTGTTTAAATGCCCGTTTGGCAGAACAGAACATAAAGATGTAACTCCAAAAAATATGTGAAAATGAATGGTAGACAGACGTTTCACTATTGAGACGTTTCTTCTTCTTCTTCCAATATAGTACAGACACCTTCCGGCGTATACTCGTACTAGCGCAGCGCGGTGTGAGAAGTGTCTATGTACAAGAGTGATTTAAAAAAGTACTATGTATAGTGCTGGTAAAAAGGTAAAAACACCGGACTGTCTATCGGAGAGTGAGTGAGTGGGAGTACTTCCCTCTTGAAGCTGTCTATGGTTGTACAGCTTACAACTGTCTGGGGAAGACTGTTCCAGAGGCGGATGGTGTCTGGGAAGAAGGATCGCTGGTAGCACTGGGTCCTTGCAAATGGTACCAGGTAGTGAAGTCCATGTCCTCGAACAGAGATGACTGGGGTGAGGTTGGATGTAGGGACTTCTACTAGGCCATTTACTATACGGTACATCATGGTCACCTTGGCATGGGCTCTGCGTTCTCGGAGGGTAGGCCACTGTAGGTGTTGCAGCATCGATGTCACACTGCTGGTTCTTCTGTAGTCTGATAAGACCATTCTTGCTGCTCGGCGCTGCACCATCTCCAGTTTCCAGATATTTGCCTCAGTGAAAGGGTCCCAGATGATAGAGGAGTATTCCACCAGAGGTCTCACGAGGGTCATATAGCAGAGCTCTTTGGTCCTTCTTGGGCATTGATTGATGTTTCTCTGTAGAAAGGATGTGGCATTGTTGGCTTTCTTTGTAGTTAGATCAATGTGATGGTTCCAGTTTAGTGACTTTTGGAAGTTGAGGCCTAAATATTTTGCTGTATCTACTTCTTCTAAGATGTGTCCATGGATGTTATATGGTTGTCTGATTGGTTTTCTCTTGTTTGTTATGTGGAGTATCTGGCATTTTTGAGGGTGGAATTCCATCAACCAATCCCTTTCCCATCTTTGTAGTCCATCTAGGTCTTTTTGTAGGGCTATAGCATCTTGGTCTGAGTGGATAGAGCGGTAAAGGGCACAGTCGTCAGCAAACATTCTAGTGGTTGATTCAGGTGATACATAGTTGGGTAGATCATTAATGAAGATGAGAAATAAGAGAGGTCCTAGAACACTGCCTTGTGGGACACCTGATTGGACAGGTGCTTCACCTGATTTGCTGCCGTCTAGTAACACTCTCTGGCTCCGATCCCCTAGGAAGCTGTTTATCCACTTTAGTAGGTTGTTTCGTATACCATAGAATTGAAGTTTTGTAAGTAATCGGTGGTGTGGGACCTTGTCGAAAGCTTTGGAAAAATCTAGTAAAATGACATCAGTCTGACCAGCAGAGTCCATATTGCAAGCAAGGTCCTGGACTGTCAGTAAAAGTTGAGTCTCACAGGATCTGCGTTTACGAAATCCATGCTGGGCATCTGTAAGTATGTTGTAGGTGTCAAGGTGTTTCATAATGGTGCTTGTAACGATGTGCTCAAGTGCCTTACATGCTATGGAAGTAAGAGAGACAGGTCTGTAGTTCTCTGCTTTACTGCGGTCGCCCTTCTTGAAAATTGGTACCACGTTGGCAGTTTTCCAGTCGTCAGGGATGATTCCTTGGTCCACAGATGCCTGGAAGAACAGTGTGAATACAGGAGTAAGTTCTGTAGCTGCTTCCTTTAGAAGTCTTGCTGGGAGTTGATCTGGACCTGTAGCCTTGTGTGGATTAAGTCCTGCAAAGATCTTCTGTACTCCGCTCTCTGTGATTGTAATATGTTCAACCGGATCATGTGGGCTTGGTCCCATATCAGGAATAGTTGAGATGTCTTCATCCTTGTTGAAAACTGAAGAGAACTGCTCATTCAGGATATTGGCCTTTGTGTCGCTGTCGGAGTGAGTCATGCCCGTTTTTGCTTTCAGTGGTGCTACTCCCTGACTGTCTGTTTTCTTGCTTTTAATGAAACTGTAGAACCTTTTGGGATTTGAGGCAGACTCTGGACTGACGATATTGTTGACATACTCATTGTAGGCTTCTTGACATGCCAGTCTAGATTTTTTCTTGAGATCTTCATATCGTTTTATGCTTTTATGAGACTTGGTTGATTTTGCACGGGCATATGCTCTCTTTTTCCTTCGACTCAACTGTTTGATGTCTTTGTTTATCCATGGCTGGCTAAATCTAGAGCTGCTCATCTTGGATGGCACACAGGAGTCCAGGACTTTCAGGAGATTGTCTTTTATGTCTGCCCACATAGTGTTGATATGGCTAATTGTTGTGTAAGTTTCTTTAAAGTGTTGTTGAAATTGGTGACATTTGCTTTTCAGTTGGTCTATATCTGCATTTTTCCATAGATGTATAAGTCTTTTGACTGGTTTTGATCTTTTAGCCGATGCACTGGATTCAATGAAGACTATGTCATGGTCACCTAGTCCTGGCAGAGTTGTACTGCGCGTTGTAAGAGTAGGACGATTTGTGAGGAAAACATCCAGAATGTTGTCTTTTCTTGTTGGCTGAGTGACCATCTGGTGAAGATTGCAGGATTCAACAACTTCAAGGATCTTTTTGTTGATCCTGTTGGAATTCTGGTTACCTTCTACTGTGTTGATGGTCCAGTTGATGTCAGGTTTCACACCAAGACGGTTCACACCAAGACGTTTCACTCCCAAATGGGAGTGAAATGTCTTGAAGACGTTTCACTCCCTTTTTATACCAAAATTATCTGATACTTATGATATACTAAAATAGACCTAAAATATTGAATTGAATTGAACTAAAATAGACCTTAAATTTAATAAAAAATGAATTAAAAAGGGGATATTACTTTTTTGTCAATGACTTAAAACTCAGTACTGTAAGTTTTATCATTTCAGTTATCTAATCTTCTTTATTGTTGTTTTGAAAAAAAGTGTTTTTCAATTCTTTGATCCATATGTGCAATTATCACTTTATTTCACTTAAATAAAAAATATTTTTGATCAAAATAACACTTTTATATAACTAACTATTTGACCTTTTGTAATCATGGACTCAATAGGCAATTTTAATATAAAGCATAACATTCTTGTGACAGCAATTAACTTTGAGTAAAATGTTGTTGTTGTTTTTTTGTTTTTAAACATGGGATAAAAATTTGTTAAATTATTTAATGCTAGTATAGTGCTTTTGCGATAAATGTCAAAAATGTTTATGGCCATTGAAATCAGAAACATCTTTCATTTAAATAAGAAGCATTGGGACTTTTTCAATATTTGTCATGTATAATCATTTTTTTGTGACAAAAATTCATCATTATATAAATAAAACTTATGGAGAAGTTTCTGTTTTTAAATTGCCTGTTGTCAAAAAATATTTTAATGGTCCAATAAACAACTGATTTAGAGTGAGTAAACTGTTGATGTTTAAGTGCAGTGTTTATACAACTGATTCTATAGTGGTGTCAAACTGTTAGTTGATTGTCTCAGTGTTTATACAACTAATTAGGCAATGAGATAACATCACAATTAATGGCTACTGTTAATAAATTGATTAAGAAAATAATTAAAAAAAATTATTGTATACACATGTTTCGCATGTCATTGTTTAAGACTTACAAAAAATAATCAATTCAATTCAATTCTTTATTCAGCGTATGAACATTATATGTTCGTTGCCATTTATCATGGTGACGGCGGTTACAATATTTGAGAAGAGCATGGTAATATATATACATACATAATCAATTCACCTTACACTATGTAAAATTAAGTATGTATACCAGTATTTGTACACACCGACTCTCGATAGGCCAGTAAGAGGATATTAAGCCTGTGATATATAAACATAATCAATTCACATTACACTATGTAAAATTAAGTATGTATACCAATATTTGTACACATCGACTCTCGATAGGCCAGTAAGAGGATATTAAGCCTGTGAAATATGCATACACATTTGGATATTCACTTAAACTTATTCTTTAAAATTATCATTTCAGCCACCTTCATAAGCCTGTGTGTTCAAATACTGGTTTATATTTTTAGTTAAAGCTATGCTACTTAACAAAGTTACTGTAAAGTATCAAAAAAATAAAATAACAATAAGAACGTTATACTTATTGACATATATATCTAAGGCTAAAACAAAAGGGAGACAATCTGGTTCCAATTATGCATCATATTAGAGGAGTAACCTCCCTTATACTTTTGTGCATAACATTAAAAAATTGTAGCAACAATTGTATGTATGAAACAAACATTACTGCAGCATTATTTTATGATTACATCAACTATGTTTCTACATCAATTACAATACTACTGATCTATAAGACTAGTACGTTTATTATCAGCCAGAAAAACATATTTAGCAAGTTTACATAACACACCAGATTGACTGCAAGTTAACAGTGCTTGAAATTTCTGTATAGTTGGCCAATGGCAATAATATTTTGGGAGACACTGATTTCTTATAGTACGATATTGCGGACAGACAAGTACAAAATGATACTCGTCTTCTATGACATTCATGTTACAAAATATACATTTCCTTTCCATCCTACTAATGTTTCGATAACGACCCTCTTCTATTGCAAGTTTATGAGCAGAGCACCGTAGTCTAGTTAATGCTATTCTATGCTTATTCACCTTAACACATAACAAATATTTTTCAATATCAAAACATCTTTTTATAACTTTATATGTAGTAAGTTTAGGCATAGTGTCTAAAGTACCAAAAAAATTCTGACAAAATTGACTATATAGACATTCTATTACCTTACTTAATTGTAGGTCAGTAACAGATACATTATTCCATAAATAACTGAAACCCAAATCATCTAGCAGTGATTTAACCCTTAGGGCCCATGAATCTTTCACCAGGTTAAGCTTATCATACATAAAACATTTATGAATTAATGTATCCGGAGACCTAACAATCTTACACCAATACTTAAGAATTCTTTCTTTTCTTAAGATATCAAGAGACACTTTACCAAGC